TCCTACAAAGGCTGTTTTGAACCGCACACCATATGAGGCTTGGAATCGAAGGAAACCGGGAGTAAGTCATTTGAAAGTATTTGGTTGTGTTGCCTATGCTTTAGTTGATGCATATCATCGTAGCAAGCTTGATGAAAAATCAACAAAATGCATTTTTCTTGGCTATTGTTCACAGTCCAAACCCTATAGATTGTACGATCTTGTTGTGGGCAAAGTTATCATAAATAGAAATGTGGTTTTCGATGAAGAAGCAAGCTGAAAGTGGGATAACAGCTCAAGGAACATTGCTGTTAGAGTTTTTGGTGAAAATGAGACCATTGGAAGGGAGATACAACAGCTACCTTCACCATATTCTTTAGGCTCGTCATCACCATCTTCACCTAGACTTATACCTGAAGGATCAAGAAGCACTTCTGATGATGAAACTCCTCCACTCAGGTTTCGATCATTGGATGAAATATATGCAGATTCTTATGCTATGTTTGTAGGTGATCCTATAACCTTTCAAGAAGCAGAGAAGCGAGAAGAATGGCGTGCAGCGATGAAGGATGAAATAACCTCAATTCAAAAAAATAAGACTTGGGAATTGGTAGATCTTCCGGAAGGAAAAAAACCAATTGGAGTTAAATGGGTCTTTCGAACAAAATATGGAGCTGATGGCGCTGTTCAAAAACATAAGGCGCGACTTGTGCCCAAGGGGTATGCACAACAGCAGGGAGTTGATTATGTCGACACTTTCTCTCCGGTCGCACGATTTGAGACAGTGAGAATCCTTCTTGCAATGGCTGCAAAATTAAATTGGCCGATATACCAATTTGATGTAAAATCAGCTTTTCTAAATGGTGATTTAAAGGAGGAGGTTTATGTCACTCAGCCAGAAGGATTTATAATTGAAGGTAATGAGGAGAAGGTGTACAGGCTGCACAAAGCCTTTTACGGGTTAAAACAAGTTCCGCGTGCATGGTATGGAAAGATAGATTCCTATCTTTGTGAAAATGGATTTGAGCGAAGCAAGAATGAGCCCACATTATATGTGAAGAAGCAAGATAAAAATGATTTTCTCATTCTTTGCCTTTATGTTGATGATATGATTTATATGGGTTCACCTCCTTCTGTTATTGACGATTTTAAAGTCCGCATGAAGAAAAAGTTTGAAATGACAGATTTAGGAAAGTTGCAGTATTTTTTTGGGGTTGGAAGTGAAGCAAGGTGATGATGGAATTTTTGTGTCTCAACAGAAGTATGCTTGCGATTTGTTGAAAAAGTTTAATATGTTGAATTGTAAGGCTTCAGCAATGCCTACGAACTTGAATGAGAAGTTACAAGTTGATGATGGTTCTGAACAAGCAAACGAGAAACAATTCAGAAGCTTGATTGGAGGATTGATTTATTTGGCGCATACACGTCCAGACATTGCTTTCTCGGTGGGGGTACTGTCCAGGTTTATGCATTCCCCTTCACAGCATCACTTTGGTGCTGCAAAAAGAGTGCTACGCTATGTTGCTGGAACAGTCCAATTTGGATTATGGTATAGCATGGATCCGATTTCAAGTTGATCGGTTATACGGACAGTGATTGGGCAGGCTGTTTGGAGGACAGAAGAAACACCTCTGGTTACGTGTTTAGTCTTGGATCTGGTTTGATATGTTAGAGTTCGAAGAAGCAAGAATCAGCACTTTCAACATCTGAAGCTGAATACACAGCAGCGACAACATCAGCCTGTCAAGCAATTTGGCTATGTCGTATTCTTGCAGATTTTGCTAAGTCCAATCTGAACCAACTGAGATCTTTTGTGACAATAACACAGCGATTTCCATGTCGAAGAATCCAACCTACCATGAAAGGACAAAGCACATAGATATTCGAGTACACTTTATTCGAGATCTCGTGTCAATGAATTTAATAACTTTAAAGTATTGCAGTACCCATGAGCAGGTGGCTGACATCATGACCAAGTCACTTCCTCGAGACAAGCATATTCACTTTCGATCAAAGCTTGGTGTTTGCACTTTTGAATCAAGGGGGAGTGTTAAGATTTGATTAAAAAATAATTAGGATATATTTTATATTTATTATTTACTATATTCAGTTTTAGAAGGTGGATTTGATTAATAATTATTCCATATTTATCTTGGAATGTAATCTCAATATATTGAGATGTTTCACATTGAATAATACGAATGTCTTTGAAGTTTATCCGAAAAAACATGCCCTGCACGATCTCTCCTCTCTGCTCTGTTCTTCTCCATTGTCTACAACCTAGTTTGTTGGCAATTTCTCTCTTGATTTGCAACAGAATGTACTGTCCCTGAACTAGACTGCCACTGCAACCGGGATGATTCCAACAGGCCCTGCAATACATGGCTCCCCTTGAAGATTTGGTAGGAGATTTAAGGGATGCTGTCTGCGGAGGCTATGCCGATTTGAATGAGAATTCTGCTGGCATGCAGCACATCAGGTTCGATCTACGAGGAGGATCAATAGGCACCTGTCATCAATATATGTAATGGATGAAGTCTTCACTCCGAGGAAGAGGCGCAAAGTGAACAATACTAAAAGAGCGGACACTGCAGAGGACAGAGCGCCCATGGAGGTTTCCGGGCATTGTAGAATCCGAACTCCAGAACAAAAGGCAAAAGCTGCAGTGAACTCTCCTTGGAGGAAGAGCAAGCAGAGGAGGCTATCAGAAATCTGTGGCAATGACGAGAGAGCAGGCAATGCTGGAGGGCACCCGATCACAGTCTCAAATGCACGGCGTTCCAAAGCTTCACAAATTAGCAGAGACAGCGGTGGTGGAGATGACACGCCCTACTGGCTTGAGGAGATGACGAAGTTCATGACAGGGGCCAAAGCAAAGAAGCTGAAGCCAAAAAAACTACCCACCTCTTCCAAAGAAGTTCCGGTTCAAAGAAGATGATGTCGTGCCACTAACAGAATCGGAACAGCGAGAAGCTGAGTGGGAGAAGGACGTAGACGGCTTGTTCGAAGAATTGAACTTCAACTGCGTTGTGGAGAAAATGGGAATGATTACCAGCCGTGAGGTACGTCAATCAGTTTTAACATCTTTGTAGATTAATTTTGATATTGAAACAATAGACAGGAACTGATTCGACACGGATTGAGAACTAATTTGGCACTACTATTTTTTATGACGTGCAGGTTGTTGAAGTGGAGGATGAGGAAGAGGAAGAACCTCAGGAGCGCAGATGTGCTCGAGGGCTGCACGAATTGACGTTGAAAGACGATCAAGGACTGTATTGTATCCACTGTCAACATGTCTGCGATTCATCCGAAGGATGTAATTCGTCCTTGGGTAAGAAAAAGGAAAATCATCCAACTGTTAATTAAATTTGGGCAGCTACCCTTGTTTATGTGACTTCCTCTTCTTCTTCCTTTTGCAGGTGATCAAAGCTCACCGTGCTCCTGGAAAGAAAAAGAAGCAGGAGAAAGGGGAGTGTCTGGATCTCGGCGCCGTCAGTCTCCCAGTAGCGGAAGCAGCTGATGTAAGCTTCTGGACTAGCGGCTCAGTGTGGAGCATCATGGATGGTGTGCGGGAAACTATGTATGAACATCAGAGAGAAGGATTTGAGTTTCTCTGGAAGAACTTGGCAGGCAGTACTGATATTGCCGAGTTAAAGAACTCAAATCCACCTGCGGTGGGCGGATGCATTATTTCTCATGCACCGGGGACCGGAAAGACACGTCTAACGATTGCATTCCTCGAGACATTTAAAGATGTTTCTAAACTGTCTGCCGATGATCATCGTCCCAGCCACCATACTTTGCACCTGGGAAGAAGAGCTCAAAAGGTGGAATGCTGGATTTAATTTCCACAACCTGAACAATCCGGTGTTCATCGGCAATGAGCAGGAAGACTGCGGACCAACTCTTCCAAGGGGCGAAAATCGGACGCCAGTATTTGGAGGCAATCCGCATGGTGAAAATTTCTATGTGGAAGAAGGGGGGAGGCCTTGGGGGTTAGCTACACTCTTTTTGAGAAGCTAACAGCGCAGAAGGACGTGCAAGCAAACACAGGTATTGAAAAGAACTTTGAGGTTCTGAGGTCGGCACTTCTTGAGATGCCTAGATTCATGATTCTCGACGAAGGCCATACTCCTCGAAACAGAAAGAGTAAAATCTGGACTTCACTGGTTCAGGTCAAAAGTGAAAATCGCGTCATATTGTCAGGGACGCCATTCCAGAACAACATCAAAGAGCTGTTCAACATGCTTAAGATTTTAAGGCTGACAGTAGCAGATGCGAGTATGCAGGACCGGACATTTGCTGAAGTTCTGCATTCGGATAAGGCTTTGCTTCCCGAAGCCATCAACCGTGCAGTGGAGGCTTAAACACCGCCGGATAGCCCGCTTAGCTCGCTACCCGCCGGTGGGTTAGGTTAGGTTGGGCTGGGCTGATGAAATTTTAGTCCGCTTCGTCGCGGGTTAGCCTGCAAACAACCCGCTTATTTGCGGGTTGTGGGCCAGTTCTCTCCGCTAACCCATTTTGACAGGTCTAATTTTAAGGACGAAATTCCTTTACAAATATACTATATTTTTTATTTGTAGTTTTTAATCATTTTAAGAAAAAGCAAGTGATCAAACTACTCTCCTCTGCTGATATATTTTAGCTTAACAGATCAAACTCTTCTTCTGCTCTAAAATTGAACAAAATTTGTTGATTTATGCTGTATATGTGTGCTTGTTTTAGGCAGGAAGTGTGAAGGATAAGATGAGGTTATTGTTGTATAAGTTTGGGGAGCAATTCTTGTCTAAGCTAGCAGAGAAGTTGGTGGATATTGCATTGAGCAAAAGAGACAAGGCCACTTTTGATTCTCTGCGAATCAGCATGAGGTTACTGTGTGCTAAAGCATCTGATGTCGAAGATGCAATAAAGAGAGACGAACAATCTGGAAAAAAGAAAAGGAAAAGAGAAGTCGGTGATTGGTTAGAACAAGTTTGATCAATTGATAATGAACTCGTATGTTGGAAAGTGAAATGCGAATGGAAGGCTTTCTGACACAATTCTTTGGCGGAGGTCGAGCAGCAAAACTAGAAGAAAGAGTGTGCGAGCTGGTTGAGCAAAGACAACATTTTGGTGAGCTTGTACTTGATGATTGCGACATCAAGGGAGACAAGTTTCGAATTGGGGAGTTAGTAGGTGAGCAAATCAAGAAAAATTTGGAAGCAATTTGGAGTTTCTTGTCATTCGATGGGGTGTCAAGCATTGGGATTTACGGTATGGGAGGTGTTGGTAAAACAACACTTGCCAAGCATGTGAATAATCATCTTCAAGAACGAAGTGGCGAGCGTGTTGTATGGATCACAATATCTCAAGAGTTTACAATCTCGATGTTGCAAGATGAAATAGCCAAATCCATAGGCCGCGATCCCTTAGATGAGAGGAATGACGATAAAAGAGCATCACGATTGAATGCAATGCTATCCAAAATACACAATCTTGTTATTATATTTGATGATGTTTGGAAGTATATTGATTTGAAAAGGGGTTGGGAGATCCGCTCTGTGTGGATGGATGTAAAATAGTGATAACAACTCGCTCAAAAAAAGTGTATGATCAATTTGATTGCAACAAAATAATGAATGTGGAGACATTGCAAGAAAACGAAGCATTTGGAAGGGTTTCGAGGGAGATCGAAACATGTTGGTGATTATAATTTGTTGATGAGAAATAAACCAGCTGGTTTATCTTACTCCATCTTGATTGGGTCGGAAACATATTATGCCGATCCTGGCGGCTTTTACAATCAGTTGGGGTTGCTACACTATGACTTCCATTCATGTAGGGACAAAGACATGACTATTCTGGCCGGAGACATCCAATATCTACTGTTGGTCGAGTGTAAACGGTTGAGCAAGTGTTTACTGGAAGATCTCAAAGGGCTTTTCAATAATCCCACATCAATGGAAAGCTTGAAAATTGGGGATTGTGATGAAATAGAGTGTCTTTGGAGGATCGAAGAACAGTCGGCATCTACATCAGCATCCATCTCATCGCAAGCCCTTTTCTTGTCGATAACCAAGTTGTGGATCAATAGTTACAACAAGATGAAGAAAGCTCGGCCTACCAGCATGGCATCTCCATAACCTGAAATTTCTCAGAATCGGTGATTGTGAAATGATACAAGGGATATTTGAAATGAAGCTGCTGGATTTAGGCAGTAATAGTGGAGATGGAGGAGAAATAGAAGCATCTATGGTCTGCCAGCTCCCCAAACTTGAGTCTCTATGCCTTCAAAGTCTACCGAATTTGAAGAGCAACTGCCACACAACAACAGTCGTCTGCAGTTCGATTTGTCCTACCACGTTGCAAGAAATCCCGTCATTACACAAGTTTTCTTTGGTCTTCGGACAGCCAAGTGATGTCATTGATAGGCCTCCGACAGCCCTCCAAGGAATTAACTTACTCAAGAATGAGAAGGAATGGTGGGAGAAGTTGGAGTTGGGGCACCCCTCGCACTAGACCTGTCAACACAGGTTAGCAGGCCGCGGCAGGACGGATCAAAATTTCATCAATCCAATCCAAATCACCCGCGGGTGGCGAGGTAAGCGGGCTAGTCCACGGACTTTTTAAAAATATTAATATTATAAATTTTTTTGTAATTAATATTTCAAAATAGCTAAAAATAGTTTTATTGTAGAATTCAAATAATAAATATTTTACAAATAAATCATAATTAATTTTATGAATATGTAGATTCTATAATAAAAAAATATTATAAAACAATAAAATGAGAGATAAACAAAACAAATGATGAAAAATTGAAAGTAATTTTTTAGTGTTACAGTAAAAAATGATAAAAAAAAAAAAAAAAAACATTTAGTTGATACGGGATGAGTAATAATTATTATATTTATTTGGCCCCCCAAGCTAACCCGCCCCACTGCGGGCTAACCCACTCTCAACCCACGGCCCACGTGGGTTGACCGGTTTAGGTTCGTATTTTAACTGCTTACAAAATCACAACCCAACCCTCCTAACAAGACTGGAAAATTACATTATTATTCAAAACAAGATTAAACATTTCCTCAATAATTATGTTATCAATCCCTGCCATCTATTGCATTAATATACCTTTCTTCTCCGACGAAGAGCATAACACTAGATCACATAGCTGCTCTTTCTCAAATTTATGTCAGTATTTGTTAGGAAATACCGAAATATGCCTCTTGTAAGACTTGGACCAGGTGTGTTTTTTCTATTTTTTTTAATACATTCATTATTTTTATTTTTGTATTCTCTGTTGGAACTTATGAACAAATTTAACCCTATGCCCAATAATTGAGATAAAAATAAAGTTAATAAATCTAACCTGATTCTATTTGCGTAAGCGAATTAGATCTGCAAATTAACTAAAGGTATTTGTTCTTCAAGCCTATGCCTCTCCTCAGCTAGGGTTTTTGCTCTTACTCTCATCAAGATGAGATATAAAAAAAATGGTTGTTACGCCTAAACATGATCATAACCTGGCTGATAGCCAAATAGTTACATTTAACATACAATTCGATTTTTAATCCAATATTCCCTAGATAATTTTCTATATTCTAGTAATAATATTTTATTTCTAACTATTTTATAAAACAAACACACCCCATAAAATTTATGAAAATAGACAACAGCCTTAGGCATAAGTAAGCAGACACTTTCATGCTGGATCAAGTTTGTAACATTTACAAAATTCAGAAGATATCGGAAACGGTAATCATGGGCGTGACTGAGAAAGTAGTATTGACATGAATGTAAATCGGCAGTTATGGGTGTGATAAGGAGCATTCGTGGCCCCATATCAAAATTACAACCTACAATCTTCTACTTAATTGTGAAGTGTATTCATTTTGATAATATCTCCCAATTTACTTGGCTTTTAATTCAGTTTTCTATAGGGATATCATAAAGAGACTTTTTGGGCCTATTTATACTACATTTTGGTTGTTGAATTGATGTACACTTTCTCTGCCTGTTTGGGTGCACTTTTAGGTACCATTTTGGTGCTGGTTTGGGAGCACATTTATGTGTCATTTTGGTGTCTGTGTGTGGACATTTGGGTAGTTTTTTGGGCACCAATTTTTCTTCATCCATTTGAGAAATTGTACTATCGTAACAATTCGATTATCTAGTAGATTTTTTATCACTTGTGATTTTTTCCATTTTGGATTTTCCGCATAAATTTTGTTCTCTTATTTTTTTTGATCAACTTTTTTTTATGCTTTTATTGTTTTTATCCACTTTCGTATTTTCAACACATTAATTTTTAATGTGATAAAATCCAAAAACAGTATTTGTTGGCCTCAATCTTGCCAGCAGTCATAAGATAATAGGTATGGCAAACCTCTTTTGCCAATCCACTAAGCCCGACAGACCGCCTGCTGTTGCACTGATGGATTCCAAACAACATGAGCAGAATGACCCTGGAAGCCCCTACCAGGCTTATGACCTCAGAGCAGCACCTCGTCGACGCCAGCATGATCTTCGAATCGTCGTCTGGATCATTGAATACGTTGATCGCTTTCTGGCTTTGCTTCTTCTCTTACTCCCTTTCCAGCTTCAGAATTTCCTTCCCGACATGCAACTCCAAAATCTCAGTCAGATATTCTTTGATCAGCTTCAATGGCTGAATATACTAGCTGAAGAAGAACACAAAGTATCGGCACCAAACGCACTAATTTCTCCCTCTGGGCTCCCACCTCCCAAACCAAAAAACCCGCCAACATATTTATCATCGAGGAAGAAAGTAGATAAAACCCAAGGGTTTAGGAACAAACCTTGTCGATCAACAATGAAGATGTAGGAACTGATTTCCAATTTTGAAATCGCGAAGTCGTCGGAACGGGAAGAAGAAAGGAATGGGGAGAATGGGTCTGTTCGATTTAGATAGGGTTTGGGAAGAGGGATCCGATAATATAAATCATACCCGTTCAGGGCGGTTCGAGTTTGTGAGATGGGTCGAACCGGAAACACAGCCCAACAATCTCCCCCTTGTTTTTGGTCGACCATCATAGTTGCATTGGAGGGCATAACAAGAATAGCGAACATGCTAACATCATCGCATTTATACATGCAACTTATCACATAGATATTTCACACAAAAGCATATATAAAACAATCAAGCATATATGTGAACATAATAAGCAACACCAAGGTGTAGCACATCAATTATTTCAAAAAGTTAACATATAACAAAAACTTTAGACTAACATCATATATACCAACATAAGCATGCGACATAGAGCTACACATCGAAAATAAATTTCTCGAGAGCAATAATAAATTTCTCGAGAGCAATATTAGGTAACCAGACCTTTCCATTCCTATAAATAACTGTAGTAAGCTATAGACCCCCTTCTCAGTATAAACCAAAAGTACCAGGAGTCCCCGACGATTCATGCTGCACCCAGTCTTTCGCACAGATCAAAGCTTGGAGCGTTGCATATTTCAGTAAAGTTTGATGCCTATCCATCTTCCGGTCCCTGGTGTCGAACACAGAGTCTTCATAGGCTGTCGAAAGGGGAACGGATAGAATGTCACAAGCCATCTTTGCTAAAGTCGGGTACCTCGACCTATTTTCTCCCCTCCATCCCAACACGTTGAATTCATGGACACGGGTAGAAGAGATTCTTTGATATACTGATCTAATTCCGAATCCACGTGCTGTTTGCCCACGATATCAGAGAGATATATGTCAAAAGCTGTGAAACCAACGCTGTTTGAAAGGACGAGGCCATCTTCATGAACTACAAAAAGTGGTTTCACGGCCATTCCCATGGTTTGGGATCAGATCTAGTTAGTTGCTCGTTGACTGAAGTTTGATTTTGATTTTGATTTTGATTTTTGTTTTAGATTTGGATGTGGATGAGCAGATCTCAATTTATTATGGATCGAAGATTTTATTTCGAATTTGAGTAAAAATATTGAACAATTTTTGGTTTTTCAAGGCTAAGCTCCAAACCAACCCGAAAACACAAAATCGACACAAACACACCCAAATACGCGATGAACACAAGTACACTGTCCTATTACCTACGACACACAAGAAATATTACCCCCACAAACAAAGAAACAAGGTAAACAGAAGCCTACACGTTGAGAGAATCCCTTGCGGCTCAAATCAACAACACAGGGGTAAAAAAACATTCCAAGGAGCTCCACTGATAAGGAGGAAGCCAACCGCCGAACCACTGTCGAAAAATCGTCGCCGGAAAGTGGTGCGAGAGAGAGACGAGATGAAAGGCTAGAGAGGGTAAGTTGTAGAGAGAAGATTATGAGAGTGAAGTGAGGGACGGCGGTTTTTCTCATCTCTATTATATACGTAGGTTAAAAGGAATAGACGGCCACGATCTCAACCCTAGATTTGACGGTGAAGATCTAGTTTAATAAAAGGGACGTGGGTCAAACAAGGCGGTTCGGGCGGTTTGGGTCACAGGTTCGCGGGCACAGGTGAAGCAGCGGGTCACGGGCGAAGGTAAGTAAGTGGATTGTGGGCCTGTGTCATAGGTTTGGGCCCAGGTGCACTTTGGCTGCGAGAATG